AACAGATGTAAGAAATTTAACTTCCAGCCATAGCCAATAAAAAACACTAAACTTTACTCTGGGCTTCAAAACAAAGGGATGTCAGCTCAACTACTGACCTTGTGAGTTAGTGGCCAGGGCTGAGGATTGAACATGAGGTTTAACTCTTCTGGACCCTCCTGACTGTTGGATCATCCAGCAGTCAGCTCCCATATTAGGGACACAAAACAATGGTCCTTTTAAAGGAACATCAACCCACAAATAAGAAAAATCAAAGACTTGTGTACACAACATATATGCCCAAGATAATTTTCCACAGTGAGAATAAATACAATTGGAAAACCTTCACATATGTTTCAGACCTCCGGGAAATAAAGTGTACTGTGAACACATCAAGCCTCTCTTATCTGAATATGTAACCCAGGGGACCCTAGGTTTAACTCCTGGGTGCTGAGTAGGGAATTATACTCCCTTTTACCATTGGCCCCTGGGCCCAGGTTCCTCACATGAACACGGGGACGAATTACACACTAAGAGTGACAGAAACACTGGGAACATCAACAGCGCATGAGGGTAATGACACACTGCTACCCCCAGCCACTAGGATGCACTGTCCACAGTCTAACAGGAAGCAGGGTGCCCGACACACAGACAGCCTGCATGCCTGTTGTCTCAGCACTTGGGAGGCAGAGGCAGAGGCAGGCAGATCTCTGTGAGACCAAGGCCAACCTGGTCTACATATAGTGAGTTCCAGGTCAGCTGGGGCTACAGGGAGACCCTGCTTCAAAAAGACCAAAAAAGGAATGAGAGCCGGCATTGGGAAGGAGGTTTTAAAAAACGCAAATTAACTCTTTGGTATCTATGTGTTTATGGCAAAAAAAAAAAAAAAAAAAAAAAAAAAAAAATTCAATGCATATTTTGGAATGAATAAATGTATTAATATGTGAATAAATTTCATGGGCTTAAGTGAAATATGACATATAAACACTGATAGATAGTCTCAGGAAAGAATATAATTATTAATATTTTACAAGTTAAGAAACATGTCAGTTCGGTTCAAATATTGAAAAAGAAAGCAAAGTGCAAAGTTGTTTTTAGAAACACACTTCTGCAGAAATACTGGATTTTAACACTGTTGGTTTACAGCTCCATTGCTGACTGAAGGCCTAGTGAACACCCAAGTTCACTGCAAAGGTGACACTCAAGTTTCAGGGAGTCGGCCTAGTTAAACGCTAAGTGTCAGGAGGGCAGGGAAATTCCTTTCATTATCTCCTTTGCCAGTAATTCTTCATCATCATCATCATCGACAGCAAACATTCCTAACAGAATGAAGAAAAAAGAAAATCACCCTTTTCAACACTATTTCTGAATAGACTGCTCCAAGTTATCTGTTCTTTATGAATTGAAAATAAAAGTGACAATTCTCATTCACTTTATTTAGGACTTGGCTTGAAGCTGGGATGCGTGTGCACACACTTGCACACCAGCATGTGTGATGGAGAAGGTGAAAACACACAAAGCAGATTGAAATCTCTCAGGAATATCTGACCTCAACGTTTCTAGAAAGAAAACATTAATTAGGCTGGCAGAAATAATAGTTGACCTTTTATTTATGGTACTTTTAACAAAATAATCTGCCCTTGTATCACAATGTATGTATTCATCCAATGTTTAAATTCAATTTCTAAAACTCTAGGAATGACAAGCATCTTTATAGTACATCAAAATGTTTACTTTTATGGTTCCCAATTTTCTTCCTAAATCCATAACCCTCAAAAGTTTCATAACAACAAGCTTCATGGTTCCCAAATCAGAGTTTTCTATGTAGCTGTCATTCAAAATGCAACAACCAACCTATCTAACCAAAGCCACTGGAAAACACAAATATCCAATCTCAGATCTTTAATGAGCTAGGCATTGTTTATGTCTTAGAACATTTTACAAAAATAAACACATGATACAGAGAACTTAATAAACACATGTCACTCTGTTTGGGCAGATTTATGATAGTGAAGTAATAACAGAAATAAAGGTACGAGCTATAAATCAAGCCACATACAGGCTTTCTGCAGCTGGAGAAAAGCTTGCAAATGCTAACTGATAAAATAATACCGCACCAAAACAAGAAGTATCCATTGTGAAAGTCGACACCTATCTTTAAATGTACCACTGGGCAGGACAGGGATGGAGCAAATTAGGACTGAGGTCATCATTAACCAGCACCTTGACCTTACGCTCTAGGGATACCAGCTCCTGCGTAGTCAAAGGAGGTGCCTAGGAAGGATAATCCCTTCTAATTCTAAGAATCCAGGTTCAACTAGACATTTGCTTAGCAAGTATCAGTCTGTCCTTCCAGTGTAGGAGGCAAGACTGCCAAACACCCCAGGCAAGGTCCTGGTAGAGGCCCATACCTGTCCCCTCCTACCTTTACCTACAACAGACTTTCTGTTCTACAAACTGTTTAGGGCTCCTGTAGCCATTCTTGTGACTGGAGTATTTTATCACATTGAACAATACCCTTAGGTACATACAATAATATATTAAATTATGTGCTAAGTATTCTTGCATGAATGGATAAAAAATGCATAGAAGGATACCAAGCCCTTCTTGGTACCAAGCTGCATTTTGCACACGAACAGTATTTATTTCCCAGGCATTTTTCACCATAACATTTATACCACCAAATCTGAAACACAGGAAGAAGAGTAGTTTTGTCAAACTCAATATACATTTTGGATACAAGCCTTAGGTAGCCTTTATCGTTCATCTTTATTAACTTTACTATAAAACCAAATGGAAAACAGCTTGTAACGAGAACACTATCAGATTCATGGATTCATTCTAGAGAAACAGAAGATGATGTGGCAAAATATAAAATAACTTCACTTAGGGAAGTTCAATCCTTTCAAAAATACTCATTGCAAATATCTGTTGCTACTGCTAAAATAAGCATAATCATTTCCAAAGACATTTTTTTAAAGAAGATTGCTGTTCTAACTCATGTTACAGTGATGACCTCCTTGACTCACTCAGTTCCCACGATGGGTCTCTAGCCAAAGCCTGAAGACCTGTTTTCAGAAGTTCACCAGCATATGATTCCAAAACCAAGTCCTGAATTTCACTTTGTCTCTCTGCTTTCTGTTATAACCGCCTATGCATAATTTGTTACTCACAACAGCATGAAGCAAATCCACAACTACATTTATAAGCTACAATGAGGCTGGGTTCATCAGCTGAATTCAGAAGCCCTGAAACTACCGCCTCTCACCAACTTTATCCGTAAGTATCTGTACCAGCTCCCTCTTCTCCACCCATGGGAAAGACCTCGAGTCTTCGCCTGACCTGATTTCCAAAATCAATGGGCCACCAGATCACACGGAGATACAGGAGTCTGCTATACTATATTATTATGGTATTTACAGAACAGTTCTCAGTAATAATAACAACAAAAGAGGTTCATTCTTGGTCACTTCCAATGTTCAGATGCTAATAATCAAGTAACCTACTGTCTGGCATGGTCTTCAGAACACAGCCCTGTTTCATACGCCATCCTACTGACTTAACTGTTTTTAATTCTTTTAAATTACTTTTATTTGCTGGCTATAAATTCTCATCCTATTTCAAGGGTGAAAAAGGCAAGATGGAGCTTAGTTGATGGTATAAGTCTATCGATTAAAAAAAAAATGCTCCAAAACATGAGAAACTGAATACTTAACATTACAAAGAGTATTTAATCTGTGGTAATAGCTTAATCTAGAACTGCTCCTTTCCTATCAAAGCAAACACAGGCCTATAAGGTAGTAAAGCTGAACCTCATACATGCCAGGGAACACAACATAAAAGCCCACAGGCTTCCCTCCCAAGGTACCCCATAATCTTCACTAGCCTTGTGCTAAAAATAACACTGTAAGATAACCCACTACTCACACTGTAGTAAAAAAACAAGCTTTGCAATCTCTCAACTAAAGAATGTTTATGCAGAGTCATTTAAGTTCAAATGACAAATATTCAGACTTACATTTGAACTTGAAGTAAAAGAAAACTTTTTTTTAATTAGGAAAAAAAACCAAACACTTCTATTAGACAGTGTGATGGATGTGACCTGAGCATTTCAGAGCACTGAGGCCATATGGTGCTGGACCATACGCCGCGGCGACCACAAAGTCCTAGTGAGCACAGGTTCACAGCACCTTTTTCTTTTCCGTGTGGCGTCAGCTGAGCACTACCAAAAATGATGTTTGGTTTTAAATTTGGAAACAACCCGGAGTTTTAGTTATCCTCTACCAAAATTCATTCCCCACAAAATGAAGTGCTATAATAATAAATCTGTCTCACTTGAAAAATCCCTAATGGTAAAAACGGGCCTATCAGAGGGGGAAAAAAAAATCAACAAAAACCAAACCAAAATAACAACAACAACAAAACCCTGCATTTTAAAAAAAGTAATTCTTCAAAATTGGTTCTAAGCTCTTAATGGGCAATAACTATGGACCTTCTGATCCAAGCAAGGCATTTCTTATATTATAATCTATATATGTCCCCAATGTACAGTTATTTCCAGCAAACCCTTTCCCATGTTTTTGTAATGAGTGAGCAGCCCATGGTGGGTCCATACGTCAACCAGCATCCTGAGTGTGTTCACACTGCCATTGCCATCCCCATGTACCAAAGCTAAGTCCTGCCACTGTGACTGTCTTAGAGGGCACTCAGGAGGGTGCTGGTGCCAGGCTCAGGGTACTCAGAAGGTAAAGCTAAGAGTGAGCCAGCAGAATGCTCAGTCTTCTACTGGACTCTCTTCCTGGACACAGTCCTTTGCTCTTTTTCCCAAGGGAGAGAAAAAAACGTAAAGGCTCAGAATGGTTTAGGCTGATTTTCAAAGGTCACCAGTGGTCAAATCACTTTGCATTTTTAGCAAATCCTTGCTTCAGATGTCAGTTGCTTAAACCATGGAACCCAGCAGACCTCGATCAGAGGCTGCCCATGACGACGTCTTCTTATTTACCACATGCTAGGCTGAGTACCTGTGAAAGCGGGCACTCCTTGGCCAGTGAACTCTGATTCATATCTTTCAGTAAGTCCTTCAGAGCGTTCCTTACTGTGGTGTGCGACCATTGTTCGGGAGGCAAGTCTTCTAGTTTGGGGCAACTAAGTGAGACACAGATTAGAAAGGGGATTATTACAAGATTGCATCCCGCTGCAGAACATTCCTTTAAGACAGACAGATTTCATTTTGCGCATCAAACAGATGCATCTGGAGATTGCTCTCGGTCTCCTGATTGTTCCGATTAGTTAATTACTTTATACAACACATCTGCTGTATCGATGCATGAATTATACATCAGCTGCCTGTGGTGGCTATTTTTTCATGTTACTTCTACCTTCCTGCTCTGATGCGCTTGGGAAGACAATTTAAGGTGTATTGCTTTCTCACGAGCCATCATGAAAAGCATTAACGTATTAACTGATTTCCTTTTATTACTCTGTTCATACGAATTAAAACAGTAAAAAAAAAAATCTATAAATAAATAAGATCTCGGCAATAGCGAATAAGGCATTCTTTCACCAAATGTACACAGATGGCACTGTTCATGATATGCAAAAATATTTTTTTCTTAAGTAAACTTTATGTAAAATGCCTTCTTGTAATGCATCATTTAATTGACTAAAAAGTAAAAAGTCTTATCTTTTGATGGCACGCAAAGCCCTACAAATTTGGGGGCGAGGAAGCTGATTTTAAAATTACACATCAAAGTGGGAGAAAAGAGCAGTAAGGGGTAAAGTCACAAAATTAATTTGGATTAGCATTTCTTCAAACGCTGGGTAAAGTAAAACTGCATGGTGACCACAGATGCTTTCTTTCAAAGCCCAGCTAGGGAGATGGTTTCACCTTAGAACTCCTGCATCGACTCACCTGTGTAACTGGATTTTCAACGTGACCACGTGATATACATCTTGAAGCATATCTGCTACAGTGGCATCAGGGGCATCAGTCACATATGACAGAGGAACTGGATTCCACTTCCCAACCTGGATGAGCCCTAGTCCAGACAGAGAGAGAAGAGTCACAGCGCTGGCTTCTCTAGTGGAAGTCCGGACGGCCTTTTCTCACTGCCCCCACCACAAGCAGTAGTGTTATTTCTGTTTGAATGATTCCCTTCCCTCAAAAAGGCAGGTCAGTGAAAATACAGCCTAGCTTTCCAAATTGTAAAATTATGTAAATGACTATAGGGGCTGTTTATTATTTTGGAAATAAAACCCCATCCATAAAACCTATGCACCAGGCCACAGGGTCCCAACTTATAAGAAGTTCTAATAAGACATAGCCAAACCAGTTCTAAATGGCTTTACGATTTAGAGAAGATTCCCTATTACGGTGGGAATCAGCATTGAAAAATACTTTACAGCCCATAAAACCATCAGAAACAGAATAAAAGAAACAGAACTAGATATTCAGTCATAAATGCAAATTGACTCTCAACAGTCCATCTGCTCAAATACGCTCCTCACTTCCTTGTGGGTCCTCAGTGGAGCAGATTATTAAGGTCAATAAGCATACTAATGATTCAGCTGAAGTAATTTAAAAAAAAAATCTACCTCGACATTCCACATGAGCAAAATGTGTGTTAACTAAACCAAACTGAATTAAGGCAATTTTTTAAAGCCACAGTCTATAAGGAACCAATGTAAAACACAGGCTACAGCTCTTTGGATCAAAATATTCACTGCTTTCTCTGTGAGGTAAACAAAGGATGGTGAGCACTCGTTCCAGCCCCACGGATGCGCTATTTACCTTTGGCCTGGGCAGCAGAGCTGTGCGAATAGCCCAGGGACAGCAGTGCCATTTCTATCAGCTGGTTGAAAAGCATGTCCTTCCTCACCAACACGAATTCCGCATGCTCTTCCTTACAATCGTACTCAATAGCGTTCTCATAATGCTCCACCACGCAGAAAACTGGTAGCATGGTTCCTATCAAAAGGACGAAGAAAAAGACAGAAAACCAACAATCTTCAGAAATAGAGTCTGGGGGGGGGAGGAAAACCTGAGCTATGGAAACAAATCCTCACCACGGTGAGACGAGAGCCTGGTTCCCAGGCAGACTGGGTAGAGAAACACAAGCACACCACACCACACCACACACACACACACACACACACACACACACACACACACGCGCAATCCTTTATTTTTTTAAAGTTGCAGAGGAAATACTGAAATACAGTGTGAACTTGGACCTACAGTAACCTGGGCTCTCCTGTCATTTTAACAGTACGTTTCCCAAAAGCAATGGATGCAGAATCACCTCTGTGATCAAACAATGATGCTAATGAGAAATATCTTATCTGCTTTGCTATAAGTAGTACAACTCACTGCAGTACCCTCTGCCTGCACACCTCTGCTAATAACAAACATTACCTGCTTGTGTCCAAACAAATGACTATAAAATTATTATCATCTTCCCCTTTGTGGTATTTCCTCTAACTGGTTCCATAAAGAAACACACAAAACTTAACCAAACTGATGCTCACAGCACTCAGTTTCAAGGTGCGCAATGTAGGCAAGGGATGCTTCTGTGACTGCCCGATTCATCTACCTGAGGAAAAAGACATCACGGAAAAAGCCACACATCTTCAGCATGAACTATCTCTGTTACAGTAAATAGGATAAAAATGGCAGAGGGCAAAAGAAACCCGGCCTCACTGGGAAGCATCAGCACAGGCTCTGCATGGATCTGACCTGTTCTCTGTGGGCTTCCTTTAATCCAGTGCTCTCAGTGGCCCGGTGGCAAATCAGCATAGGCCACAGCATTGTTAGGAAACAGGCTTGGTCTAGAGGCTGGAATCACAGTCTGCTGTGACACTCAAGGTATTTACACAGCACACTGTCAGACTTCTAACAGTAACAGAAAAGGGTTAAAAACAGATGCATCTGAACGGTTCTGTGGCACACTGCCAGAAGGGTATCATCTTTAGCATAAATGATGGCACGGGTTACTTTAACAGGGCACCCAGGATCCCCAATTACTTCTACAGCATTCCAAGCCTGTAACGGCTCTAGGCTGTGGACTCAGAACCTTACCAACTTCTGAAGGTGTTAAGTGCGCACCGACCGCTGCTGAGAACCAGGATTTCCCACTGACACCAGAGAGGCCCTTTACCAATTCTCTATTTGCTTGTTTCTACTTAACAAAAGCCGACAGTAAACAGTTACATTTTTCCACATGTGACTCCACCCAAGCCTTGTGAACTGTTCACGAGAGATTCCAGGCCTGACAAACAAACCCCTTAGGTTTACTTAGAAAAGCTCACCAACTCATTCGCAAGTACCAGCAGGCTAGGCACGAAAAACAAGCCCCGGAGCCTGCCAATGTTCTTGTCATCCACTCAGCTGTTTTATACCAGGGAGAGAACCCAGCAAGGATCAGAAGACAACTTGGGGAGACCACAGCAAAAATAGCACTATGCAAACTGGTGACTTCTTCCTTGGCTTGAAGGTATTTTGGCAAAATCTCTTAAACAAATAAAAACATCCAACCCTTTTCCTTAGTCGTGCTTTCCCAGCTTAGCCACAATGCTTATCTAGCACCTGTCAAACAGAAATCAAGCACGTGAAAAATAAGATTGAAAAAAAAAAAAAAACTACCGAAAGGCTTTAGAAATTTTGCTATTTGTATTAAGCACATATCGTCCTGTAATTAAACTGCATTTCAAAATAAGAAATTTTGAATATAACAGATTTTTTTTAAAAAAAAGCACTTGAATGAGAATGAAATGACCATGCTCTGGTCCCTTCTCCTCCTCTACTGAGGTCTGAGGAGGAGGGTCAGGGGGCCACAAACATAGACACTTGGCTCTGTCTCTTAAGCAAACAGAGGTGTCAAACTGGGACCTGCCTCTCAGACCCAGGACAGAACACTCCCATCTATGGAACAACTGAAGCCTTGTCAAACCTCAGAAACAGCCTGGATTGACTCTGCATTCTATTGATCAAATTCCGAGGTGCCTCATAGATAATAAAGGTGGCTACAGATGTTAAGAAAAAAAAAAAGGAGCAACAGTATCATCTAATCCGGCTGCTGGATCGTGGAGAACTGTCACGGGTGCCCTCCTGTGACTGGGAGTAATGTTAACCAGGAGCCTTCTCTGAACTGCCTGATTATTCGTGCTAGTGTTTGGCCAGACTTACAACTACAGCAACTTCATACCCTTCCTGCATTAAAAGGGAAGAGCACTGGTCATCGCTGAAAGCTAAAAATACCACATGATTTAAACCTGAAGGCAGTCTTAGAGGCTTTTGCTGAAGGTTTATGAGCCTGTGTAAACAGCACGGCTGCCATAAGGAGCAGTGGAGTGGAGTCTGTAGAATCCTTGTCTAAAACTGTCCTGGCATTAAAGTTTGCTGTGCAAATATCACATAATACCATAGACAGCTGAAATCTCCTATTTAGGAATTTATGGAACTTATATGTTTGCAGGCGTCAGAAAGTCTTTTTTATAGAGCCCCAGTGCTCCACAGTACAATATTAATGCACTCTGTTTGAAAAGCCATAATAAATTATATTTTTAATGCTCTTACCCTGGCTTTCTTAAGATGCATACATTCTTGGCAAACAATCAATAAATAGGGTAATCATGAGTAGAGGCCAAAGAATTTGCTGAAGTGCTGTTTTTCCATTTTTAATAGATAAAGTTCTAACAATACGGACTGCTGTGTCCGTTCATTTCGGGATCAATATATTCTTTGTTTTCGCCAAACCAAGGAAAAAATAAATGATTGTATGATAAATGTTATGCATCAAACACAATGAAATTCCTCGGCCTTCTAACTTTATCTACTTAATATTCTTGGTTGGTAAAAGATGGTATGTCTATTCTATGCTTAGCAAATGTACAGAAAATCTGATTTCTGTATGTTATTCAGAGACAAAATAAAGGCCCTTATGAGGCTCACACATTAGACCCAATCTTTGCACAGCTCTGTGGAAACAACTAAGTCCAACAGTCAAAGTTGTTACAGTGTCATCAATTTAACATTGGTAGGAAAATAATCACTGAGTTACATTTTTTCCCCTTTTTAAACTTGCCTAAATCTTTCTTCCTGTACCCCCAAATACTCATGTACAGCCAAAAATAAAAAACTAGAATCACTTTTCACTGTTAAATTACCCTCCTCTTCAGAAAACAAACCACAAAAAATTACATCACGAATCTTTTACATCGCTGAATGTCAGATTCCTATATCCCTGAAATCAAGTTACAGAACTAGTAATAATCTCAGGAGAAACCTAGGGTGGTCTTCAAACAACCTGAGTGTCTTATTCTTAATCAGGGTTAGTTCAAGCAACAGGGACCTACAGATCCTGTACTGGAGCATGTCTATGAACAGGCCTTGTGTCCGCTAAGACCATGATATTCAATTCAGACTTTATCAACCACGGTAGAGAGGCAACACCCCAAAACAGCACCCACGCTTTCAAAGCATGATTGACACTACAGTCTAGAACGTCATTTCATTTCACACCATAAAAAGAATCTAGGAAAGGAATATACAAATCATGTTCAAAGTCCTCCACCTCCACACACCAAGGCCTTGAGCAGCCACTGAGCAGCTTTCTAGGACTTGGCTGGCAAGCGTTTACCTTTCCTAAGGTTGGTTTTCATCAGATGGCCAGAGTGTTTCAGAGGCACGCCCTGCATCTTTGCACCCGTGCTCCCAAGCCTTCCTCTTCCCAGTGGGCTCCCGTTCTGCTCCAGGCGGGCAATCTTGGCTGGTGGACCCTTTGGATCGCTCACATTGTTCGACATTTCTGAATGCTCTTTCCCCTGAGTTGCCTCGTTCAAATGATCCATACTCAGTCACTGTCTACGGATCACCTGCCAGAGCTGAAAAAGAAGACATGGTATCAGTGTGGGGGTGTCTGCAGACATGGTATCAGTGGGGGGGGGTCTGCAGACATGGTATCAGTGGGGGAGGGTCTGCAGACATGGTATCAGTGGGGGGTGCCTCGTTCAAATTATCCATACTCAGTCACTGTCTACGGATCACCTGCCAGAGCTGAAAAAGAAGACATGGTATCAGGTGGGGGGGGTCTGCAGACATGGTATCAGTGGGGGGTGTCTGCAGACATGGCATCAGTGGGGGGGGGTCTGCAGACATAGTATCAGTGGGGGGGAGGGTTCTGCAGCTATTTCTGCACCACACGTTTTACCTCTAAACATTTCCCCCCTCAAATACATCTGTACAACTGCAGACCTATCTATAGGACTGGATTCCTAGATAACAGCACGTTTCTATTTAAATGAACAGAGTAATTTGTGGAAAATGTACTAACATACATGAATAAAAAGGTAATTTGTCATCTGCAAACAAACTAAATGGAGGAAAACGGGCTTACTTTTAGAATAAGAATAACCACAAGCTTAAAAGAAAATAACAAATTACATTTATATCCTCTCAATTTTTGAAAAAATTAAAATTTCATGACAGGCTACAATGCAATACTTTTAATAAAGGATGGATGGAAACATTAAACTTACTACATGCTTCCATTTTAGCATATATTGCCATTTATATTATAAATATATATCTCATGAGAATACAGCAAACGCCCAAGTGCTTTTTAAACTCCCCGCTGGCTTTATAAGCTAAGGCAGAGAAAAAGTTTTCAACTATCTAAGTTTCAAGACTTCTGTGCTGTTAAAGATCTGGCCTCAGGTCAAACATGTGACTAGATCATTTCATCCCTAAGTAAACAGGAAGAAGTGAAGGATTTCTTCAAATGTCCCAGGTACCCAACTGAAGCCTAACAATTGTCTTTTAGGGTTAATATTTAGGTGTCCATTACTAATTAGGATGCTGCTAGCAATTTAAATAGAAAAACGAACTAAAAATGAAAATAACTTTGTGATAGACAGTTGAAGTGCCAGCCTCGGTTTCAAAACAATCCTAATGAGATTGACAAAGCACAATCTTCAGTATCCAAAAATAATCAGTATGCAAGGGAGTTAACACCATAATTTCAGAAGACTTCAATATCCATACTGTTTATAATAGAGCAATTGGTAGAATATACCAAAGTTACTTCTAAACAGTTTTAAATAGGTTTGGTAAGTAGAGCAGGTGAACACATATTATTTTATGAACTTTCTCTAGACCTGAAGCATGGGCTCATCAGCACTCAAGGGGATATTTAAGAAAGCCGAATGGCAACTGCCACTTTCTCCCAGCTGCCTAGCATTTTTAAATATCTTATATACTTTAAAAAATTACCATACCCAAAAATTTAGATCTGGCTCAGCTGAAAGCCAGTTTGTGTTGGTATGGCTTTTCTGAAATTTTTTTCCCCTCTGTTTAAGTATGGACTACGGACGAGGTTTAAAACAACCTTAAGAACGCCAATAGAAGAAATATAAAGTTTGAGAAATAATAATGGCTATTTATCTTTGTACTCCAGGGTGGCATGCTGAGACTAAAGGTTTACCCTTGATCGAGGTCCCATCTGTTTTTGGTTATGAGGTTCATTAACAATAAATGCGCCTTTTTTAACCACTTTTTATCAAGACTACTCTTTTCCATTATATTAAACTGCAGTCTGCGACCAAAATTAGAGTGATGATTATTAACTTATTCAAAAGACTCTTTACGTCTCATGTAGATTATAATGCCGAGCTGATTTTTCTAAAATTGGTTGCCTTGCCCTAGAGCAGAAGACGAATTTTAAAACATATGAATCGAAAAGAAAAAAAAAAATTAACCCTTGGGGCAACTTATGAGGGAAAAGGGGAAGGATACACGACAGCATCAGAGTTAACACTGCAGAACATATTAAGTAATCAGGAGGTTTAACAGTACAAGCTGTATAGGAAGTTTCGGGGCAGATTACACTTTAACGTACTGACAACAATCAAAACACACAGGTCATGCGAAACTGCCCTTTGAAGACCCACCTAAAGCACTAAAACACTAAGTCGTTCTGTAAAAAGCCTTACATTATACAGCAAAATTACATGCACATAAAACATCCAGTTTAATACCCCTTTAAACTCTATGCCCAAGGCGAAAGTTCACCAAACCTCAGGTTGGAGCGGAAGCCATCTCCAACAGGCCTTCCTAGACCTATGACAACTGCCTGGACTAACTGTGGTCTCAGCAGATGCCCAGGTCAAGAGTTTGAGTTCCACACTTAAAACCCATTTAAGTGCAAGTGTGGCTGGCATTCGGCAAGGAAGGTACTTTCTCAAAATTCCATTTCCCAGCCCATAAACTAAGACCCATAGAGGATCTTTCCTGGGGCCAGTCGGTGCACTGGGTCTCAGCAATTATTTCCTTTAAAAAGAAGGAAATAAAAGCACAAAAATCTGATTTCCAGAAAGTATTTTTTTTCCTTTCCTTTTTACAACGTGGGATCCTTTTCAACGAGTTACTGGCAGGATGGCTTCCCCGGCCCCGGCCGAGCCCTATCATCATTTCTGAGAGCCTGTACCCTTATCCGTTCCATATGGCCGGTACGATCCAGGCCAAGCTTTCACTGTGACCTTTTAAAGAGACAAAGAGCAAAGTACTATCTAGCAACAGCAACCCTGCAGTTTTACTGAGTGAAATTAGCAAAACCGACCTGAAACTCACCACTTCAAAACTTGATAGCATATAAATAACAAAAACAAAGGAGATTTCCTTTGCAGCCCGGGTTCCTGAAGTGAAGTTCAAGACTGATGTTTTGTACGTCCTTTTTTTTTTTTTAATTAAAAAAAAAAAAAAAAAAAAAGGCAGCAGACCTGGAGGCGACTTCCCCTGAAATTGTATTATTTTCTCTTCCCCTACCCCCGCCCCCCGAAGCGGGGGAAGGGCAGAAATGAAGGTCTAGAGGGTAGACATGGGAGGGGGGGCTTAAAAACAAAAATCACAATTCGCCAAACAGCATAGACGGTCTGTACAATGTCTAACCTCGGAACACCGGGTTTGGGATCGGGAGGAGGGGAGAGTGGGAAGTGGGGAGGAGGAAGAAGGTAAAATTGATCTGACAAGTGATTCGGTGGGGGGGGGGGCGTAAAAACAAAGCGGAGCCCGTGAGGAGCTCAACGCTGGTGGTGCCGGGGAGGCGAGGAGGTGGCAGAGGAATCTCTTAAAAAGGAAAAAAAAAAAAAAAAAAAAAAATCACTGCGGACAAGGACTCCAGAAAAGGGGGGGGGTAAGAAAAAAGAAAGGTGCCTGTCCTCCCACGCGGAGTCCACTCGGGGTGTCCCCCGACCCCGCGAAGGCCACCTCGCCCCCTCCCCCTCCCCCACAATCGCGCTTGCGAGAAACAAACCTTAAACTTTTTCCCCCACCGCCTGGCACCCAGGGGCACCTAGAAGGGCCCGGCGGGCGCGGGGGGCCGAGGGGCGCCCCGGGAAGGCACCGGGAGGCCACCGGGGAGGCCGCCGTCGCCGCCTGGAGCCCCAGGGACCCTCCTCCTGCCCATGGGCGCGCGGACCCGGAGCGTCTGGGGGGCCCGGGGAGGGGAGGGAGGAGCTGGGGGAGGGGGGACCGAGGGCACCCCAGCCGCCGCCCCCTCCCCCCGAAAGTCGCCAAGCTCTCACTCAGCCCGAGTCCGAGGTAAACAAGGAAGACCACAATGGCAGAGGGACCGCGGCCGCCCGGAGACCCCCCAAAACTGCCCGCGAGTTGCGCGGCGGGGGTGCGGGCCGGGGACCGAGACCCGCAGCTGCGCGCGGGGGGCGCGGGCGGCGTGGCTCCCCTGA